TTTAGGTCTGTTTAAATATACCTTGTGTAGAAGGGTTTTGGTAGATCTGTTCAATACGTGCAAAAATACCTGTTCTTTTTAGAAGTCTTGTGAGCTGATAACCCTGAAGAAAATGTAGATCTCAAACATTTTTAACTCTGATTTGTTGACCTTCCCCCTAGGTTATTAGGTAGTATAGATTGTAAGAATTATTTAGACATAATTTGTCTAATCTGTACCCTAATTCATCTTCAATTTTTTACCTTATTTCTTGAATTTCTCCTGAAGAAAAAAATAGCCGTGCACTTTCTGGTATGTGAAGGTGCCTAGGCATTCCTGTTCTTGTAGCCAAAATCAAAGTAAAATTTGTCAGGACAGTACAGATTCTCTTCCCCCCGTGACCCTTTTTGGAAAGTAGACAGTGCAAGGTATTTAAAGGCATAGTGAGGGGTTTTTTTTTTTTTTAACACGTTGATTGTTTATAGCAGTAATTTCAACTGCTATAAGCAAGTTTTTTACTAAATGAAATCGATTCATTCAGTTTGGTTAGCTGTGATTGGCCAAAACTAATCGCATGGTACAGATGGGTTTTGATTGGCCCTGTCTATACCATGTGATCACAGCTAACACAATTGTAACAATGAATGGCATGAATAAAAGCCCCTTGTTTTTAAAATTATCATGTGAACTGCTGTGATTGGTCACAGCGATCACATGGTACTGGTAACAGGCAGGTACACTGATCAGTGAGGCTCATTCCAGGAGGATGTCATGACGACCCAACTGTCTGTTTACTATAGGCCAGGAGGGACGTTGTTAAAGTTGATCTCCAGCTTTTTGAAGCGTAACGGTTTGGACCAAGGTGGTCCAAACAAACTATTTTTACGAAGACATGCCATGGCTCTCAGAACTGTTTTATGAGATGTAGCTGAGGCGACTTACATGTACAGTCAGGTCCATAAATATTGGGACATCAACACAATTCTAACCATTTTTGGCTCTATACACCACCACGATGCATTTGAAATGAAACAAACAAGATGTGCTTTAACTGCAAACTGTCAGCTTTAATTTGAGGGTATTTACATCCAAATCAGGTGAACGGTGTAGGAATTGCTACAGTTTGCATGTGTGCCTCCCACTTGTTAAGGGACCAAAAGTAATGGGACAATTGGCTTCTCAGCTGTTCCATGGCCAGGTGTGTTATTCCCTCATTATCCCAATTACAATGAGCAGATAAAAGGTCCAGAGTTCATTTCAAGTGTGCTATTTGCACTTGGAATCTGTTGCTGTCAACTCTCAAGATGAGATCCAAAGAGCTGTCACTATCGTGAAGCAAGCCATCATTAGGCTGAAAAAACCAAAACAAATCTATCAGAGAGATAGCAAAAACATTAGGCGTGGCCAAAACAACTGTTTGGAACATCCTTAAAAAGAAGGAACGCACGATGAGCTCAGCAACACCAAAAGACCCGGAAGACCACGGAAAACAGCTGTTGTGGATGACCAAAGAATTCTTTCCCCGGTGAAGAAAAACACCCTTCACAACAGTTGGCCAGATCAAGAACACTCTCCAGGAGGTAGGTGTATGTGTGTCAAAGTCAACAATCAAGAGAAGACTTCACCAGAGTGAATACAGAGGGTTCACCACAAGATGTAAACAATTGGTGAGCCTCAAACAGGAAGGCCAGATTAGTTTGCTGAACGACATCTAAAAAAGCCTTCACAGTTCTGGAACAACATCCTATGGACAGATGAGACCAAGATCAACTTGTACCAGAGTGATGGGAAGAGAAGAGTATGGAGAAGGAAAGGAACTGCTCATGATCCTAAGCATACCACCTCATCAGTGAAGCATGGTGGTGGTAGTGTCATGGCGTGGGCATGTATGGCTGCCAATGGAACTGCTTCTCTTGTATTTATTGATGATGTGACTGCTGACAAAAGCAGCAGGATGAATTCTGAAGTTTCGGGCAATATTATCTGCTCATATTCAGCCAAATTCTTCAGAACTCATTGGATGCCGCCACTTAGCAGTGCAGATGGACAATGACCCAAAGCATACTGCAAAAGCAACCAAAGTTTAAGGGGAAGAAGTGGATTGTTATGCAATGGCCAAGTCAATCACCTGACCTGAATCCGATTGAGCATGCATTTCACTTGCTGAAGACAAAACTGAAGGGAAAATGCCCCAAGGAACAAGCAGGAACTGAAGACAGTTGCAGTAGAGGCCTGGCAGAGCATCACCAGGGATGAAACCCAGCGTCTGGTGATGTCTATGCGTTCCACACTTCAGGCTGTAATTGACTGCAAAGGATTTGCAACAAGTATTAAAAAGTGAAAGTTTGATTTATGATTATTATTCTGTCCCATTACGTTTGGTCCCTTAACAAGTGGGAGGCACATATGCAAACTGTAATTCCTACAACATTCACCTGATATGGATGTCAAATTAAAGCTGACAGTCTGCAGTTAAAGCACATCTTGTTTGTTTTATTTCAAATCCATTGTGGAGGTGTATAGAGCCAAAAATGTTAGAATTGTGTCGATGTCCCAATATTTATGGACCTGACTGTATGTACAGCTGTTATCCCATTGGGATGGAAACTTCCTTCCTCGAACATAGTGGATGTTGAAGCAAAGTAAGCATAATGTGTCTTCATCTGCTGCATTTTCTTGGCTGACCATTGAGTCTATGGTCCTTAACATTGCCTGTTTCTTTGCGCTTCTTCAAAAAGTGCTTGAACAGTACATCTTGAAACCCCAGTCTGCTGATGCAGTGTAACTACCTTACGCCTTGTTACTGTGCTCAGTCTTGCCATAATGTATAACCTGTGACCTGAAACTCTCAATCTCACCTTGGTAGCAGAGTTTGGCTGTTCCTCACCCAGTCTTAAGCCTCCTACATAGCTGCTTTCAACCTACATATGAAATTGATGACCATTTGCGCACCTGCCTGGTATGATAGGTTAATTCTATACCTGACTCCAATTGTACAAAATCCCTGACGTTGCAAGTGTACAAAATTGTGTTCCTCCACCCCAAACTCACTCAATGTCTTTTATGGACCTTGCTTTGTGCACAGTTGTGTTGGAACAGGAAGGGGCCATCCCCAAACTGTTCCCTCAAAGTTGGCAGCATGAAATTGTCCAAAATGATATGCTGATGCCTTAAGAGTTCCTTTCACTGGAATTAAGGGGCCAAACCCAACCCCACACCATGATTCCCCCTCATCAAACTTTACACTTGGCACAATGCAGTTAGGAAAGTACAGTTCTCCTGGCAACCGCCAAACTCTCACATCAGATTGCCAGACAGAAGCGTGATTTGTCACTCCAGAGAACACGTCTCCACTGCTCTAGAGTCTGGTGGTGGGCGTGCTTTACACCACTGCATCTGACGCTTTGCACTTGGTGATGTAAGGCTTGGATGCAGCTGTTCGGCCATGGAAACCCATTCCATGAAGCTTTCTGCGCACTGCTGTGCTAATCTGAAGGCCACACGAAGTTTAAAGGTCTTTAACTATTGACTCCACAGACAGTTGGTGACTTCTGTGCGCTTCAGCATGCACGCTGACCCCGCTCTGTCATTTTACGTGGCCTACCACTTTGTGGCTGAGTTGCTTTTCCCAGTTGCTTCCACTTTGTTATAATACCACTACCAGTTGACCGTGGAATATTTAGTAGCAAGGAGATTTCATTGATGGACTTATTACACAGGTGGCAACCTATCACAGTACCACGCTTGTATTCACTGAGCTCCTGAGAGCGACCCATTCTTTCATAAATGTTAGGCTGGCCATACATTATACAATTATCTTCCAATTTTCTGCCCAATTTCCTTTAGATTTACCTTCAACTGTGTAGTGCAAGGGCCTGCCTAACTGGATACAACTGAAAGTGTTTAGGTTTGTCCTATTATATGGTTTTTGGTCAATCTAAACCAAAAATCTGCAGATAATTGTATAATGTATGGCCAGCCTTAGAAGCAGTCTGCATGCCTAGGGGCTTGATTTTATACACCTGTAGCAATGGAGGTGATTGGAACACCAGAATCCAATGAACTGGAGGGCTGTCCCAATACTTTTGGCAATACAGTGTATGCATCTCCTATCTCAAATTAAAAAAAAAAATAAAATACATTTTTTTCTTCACCTATACATATTAACTACATTATACACCGAACTTTGAGGGTTTTTTTTTTAAACAGAATAATTAAAACAATTGGCCAATTAACCGATTATGAAAATAATTAATTTCAACTCTTAGCCACAGCTACTGTAAAGATTTTCTCCACAAATCTCATCCTTCTATTGACACTCTTGTAGGTTACACTTTTTGAGCTCCAAGTTTGTTGGGTGGTTGCAGATTGAATAGCTGCAGATCCCTAGAATTATGTGTTGCTATATCTAGCATTGAGGCTGGTTGTACAGAGTAAAATTATGCTTCTGGTGCCAATAATCTGCCAAGCCCCCCTCCCATAGGCCTGTGATGTGCCAAGCACATAAGACCTAAAAGGTTCTATACCAAAAGGATTAAAAAGCCAATAGCCAGGTCTATATTCAGCATCTGCTGGCATTCAGCTACATGATTCGAGGTCACAAGGTGTCTGCTAGGGTAGAGGAGTTTACAGAATTGGGGGGGGGGGGGGGGGGACGATGACTTATAAGGCAGCTCTCCATGGTCATCTGAGGTCAGTCCTTGTCAATCCTCCTGCAAAGGTTAAGTGATTGGCTTACAGCCAGTGTAGTCTTTATATCTATTCTGTCAATACATGTTGCATTTTGATTTTTGCCTTGATTGGGTGAATGGGCAGAAACATTTAGTTGACAGTGCTGCATAACTTCATGCTATGTTTTACTGAAGTGCAGAGAAAGCAATAGTGAATGAGCAGGCTGCATGAACCCTCTGTATTCTCATTTGTGTGTGGGTTTTTTTTTTGTTAGAGGAGCTCCACCCATAAGGAAAGTTCTGCTTTAAGCCTTTGTCCCCTTCTCCCCATTAAGGATTGCTACCTTTGAGTAGCGGGTACCTGAGTTTGACAGGTACCCGCTTCAACTTCCGCTGCAATCGCTTATACCAGAAGCAGAAGTTGTCTGCCCTCCCTCCCCGTAGTCTTCTGGGACACCACAGGTCCCTGAAGACTGTGGGGCCATTCAAAAAGTGCAGCGCTTCTCACGCATGCGGAGTGGGCACCCAGACTGTGAAGCCGCAAGATGTCACAGCCGGGTGCCCACACTGAAGATGCCGGTGAGGACACAGCTGAACCGAGGGACCGGTGAGTGTCTGTTTTTTAAAAGTCTGCAGCTACAGTTTAAGTTGGAACTCTTCTTTTAAAGAAGAGAAAATGGGGGTGAGAACATGGTAATGGTATAGTGTGGAAACTAGTACTATGCAGTAAACTTCAGTCTTCTGTAAAATGTGGTTTTGGTTTCTGTTAAAGTTGCTCTTCAGAGGAAAAAAAAGTTCTGAGCTGATGCAAAATTTTATAGGTGAATTTTTTTTTTTTTATATGAGCAGACTTTTTAATATGAAAGATTTGGATTTGCCTCCTGACTTGGGTTTACTTTTTAGCTGGCTCCATGGACTTTCTCAAAAAATACCTGACCTCTTACTTTGTTTTGTTTACAATTACATTGTTCCCAGCTATCCATTTGGATAACAGGGGTCCCCCTCTTTCCTGGTCGGTTATGCAGATCAGGCAAAAAGTGGTCTGTTATCTAGTCCTAGGGTGATAATGCCACTTGCCCCATACAGTACAGCGAGTCAGCTGTCCCACTAGGGTGGGAAGTGTTACTGGAAGGTTCATCAGGTTAAAGGGAAAGCCTGAGAAGAAAACTAATGTAGCCACTGCATCTTGGTACTAAAAGATTAAATTCCATTTAAAGCATATCTAAACATAAGAATGTGTAAAGTCTGGGAGGCATCCAGCTGTGTTCTACAGAGAGGAAGCTCTGAACAGGAGCAATGAGATGGATCTGGGGAGAGATTTATTATAATGTAGCATTATTCATAAATTCCTCCCTCCTTTGCTCTAAAGCAGCACAGTGACTAAACCTGTCCCTAACCACTTGTGTGGAGTGAAAATTGTTCTCGTTTCAAGTGTAAATCTGCTGCAGACTTGTGTCTGCAGTCTTGCGCGGTCAATTGAGACAAGTCTGCACAAGGGTCTCAAATGTACAAAACAAAGTTGAATAGACTTTGCTGACTGAGGCATATTTTATTACTGAGAGGCATAGCATTTCATTTTCTCACTAATTTACTTCATACAAGTCCCCTTGGGTCTAGTTTGTTGTGACCACTCAGGAGCTGGTAGACAACATGTAGAGGCCTTTTCTGTTTTGGCTGCCATGCCATCCTCCCATAAGATTTGTGGAAATGAAAATGCAAGGTCAGCTTACCTAACACTATTGTGTGTTCCCAAGGGGTATGGTGGAGCACCCTTTTAGTTGATAAAATTTTGGTCCAATTTTTTTTTTTTTTTTTTTTTTTTTTGTATGGGTTGACCGTAAAGAGCTTGCATTTTCATTCCTGTTTGTCTTCAGCTTACACAATTGCAATCTTTTGGATTGCATTCTTGTGTGGTTTTCTGCTAAACTTAAAATGGTTTAACCTGTAAAACAAGTGACTGCTCACATGCTGCAATGTGACAGCGAATAACCTCCTGAGACTTGGAGTCCCATTCGCAGGCTGGACTCAGGTGGAGTGACACTCGCAAGGTGACAGCCTTCTCAGGCATTCAGTTAATCTTTAATTAATGCTTAAACTCTTCTGGTCAGAGGTCAGACAAGAGCCTTGAAATCTGACCTGGGACTTGACTTTGGTTTTCTCCCTTCACATAACAACCAACCCCCCCTTCCCCAAAGACTGCTGGTTGCAAAAGTACAAACTGGTACAGAGACTCAGCGGCTGTTGTGATCTCAGGATATGTTTCGGTACATTTTAAGAATGCTTTTCTGGAGTTCAGGTGTCCTGTAAAATGTGGCCTGATGAGTTGTCTGCAGAAGCTAGAGAGCTCAAGGTTAAAGGAGAAGTTCCTTTTGTAACCTGTTACACCCATATTCAGGGTGTAACATGTTACAAACAGACCGGCCCCCACAAGCACTCTTCCCCCTCCAGCTGTCACAATTTTAAAGAACACAGGCTGTTCAGTCACTCCCAGCGTTCTGTGAATGAGAACACTGCAAGTTCCAACAGCCTTTGCAGCTGTCGGTTTGTAGTTCTCAGTGATACTAAAAATCTTAAACAACGCAGTCGCACGCTGGAACGATTATGGCGCAAAACCAAATCTCAAACGTTCTCCTTCAAATCCGCCTTCCTCACCTACTCCTCCTCCCTCCACGCCGCCAAACAATCCTACTTCGTAACCCTCAACACCCTCTCACCTGTCCTCGCCGGCTCTTCTCCACTTTAAACTCCCTACTCTCTTTCCCCCCACCTCCAAGTACCTCACTCACCGCCAATCACTTCCAAAATAAGATCGACGCAATCCGTAAGGACATCGCCAATGCTCAACCTACCTCCCCACCTAACCTCCCTCCCACTATAACAGCATCAACTCTCCCCTCCTCTGACCTCGCAAACGCCCTACCCCCCACCACACCTAACATCCCGCACACTATAACCTCCCCAACACTCCGCTCCTTCAGCCTTGCTACCACTGAGGTCACTAAGGTCCTCTCAGAAGCCCACCTCACCACTTGACCCCTTGACCCTGTCCCCACACGACTCCTCCAGTCACCCTCCTCCATCCTACGCTCCCTCACCCACATCTTCAATCTCTCCCTCTCTACTGGTGCATTCCCCTCCCCCCTAAAGCACACGCACATCACCCCCATACTCAAAAAAAAAAAAAAAAAAAAAAAAAAAAAAAAAAAAACCCTCCCTGGACCCCACCAACCTGAACAACCTTAGACCCATCTCCCTGCTGCCATTTACTTCCAAGCTCCTTGAGCGCTTGGTCTACAATCGCCTAAATGCCCACCTCACTGACAACCTCCTCGATCCACTACAAAGCTAATGGCCACTACTCAGTCTTTCTCCTCGACCTTTCCGCGGCCTTCGACACAGTTGACCACCCCCTCCTCCATAAACTACTCCCCCAGCATCAGAGACTCCGCTCTCTCCTCCTATATATCCCAACACTCCTTCAGTGTTACCTATCACGCTACCATCTCCCCCTCTCTGTTGGGATCCCCCAAGGCTCTGTCTTCGGGCCCCTTCTCTTCTCCATCTACACCTCCTCCCTCAGCAAACTGATACACTCCCATGGCTTCAACCATCACCTCTACGCCAATGACACACAAGTTTACCTCCACCCCTCGCCTCACCCCTTCAGTCTCTGCCCATATCGCCCAGCTACTGAACGACCTATCAGACTGGATGTCGCTCCATTTCCTCAAATTGAACCTTTCCAAAACCGAGCTCCTGATTTTCCCCCCACCCTCTCAATCATGACCAACAATGCCACAATCAGTCCCACCCTGCAAGCCAAAGTCCTAGGTGTCACTCTAGACTCAAACCTGTCCTTCCAACCCCATGTCCAATTGTTGGCAAACTCATGCAGGCTCCACCTCCACAACATCTCCAAAATACATTCGTTCCTAACCCCAGATACTACTAAACAACTCATTCACTCCCTTATCTCACATCTGGACTACTGCAACTCCCTTCTCACCGGTTTACCTCATCAGACTATCCCCGCTTCAGTCTATCCTGAACTCAGCAGCCAGACTCATCCACTGTACCAACCGCTCCACTTCTGGCACCCCCCCTCTCATTCCCTCCACTGGCTCCCGATTGCCCAACACATTAAATTCAAACTACTGACATACAAAGCCATTCATAACACTGCTCCGAACTACCTCACCAACCTGATACCCAAATACTGCCCAACCCATACTCTTCGAGACTCGCAAGACCTCCTACTTTCTAGCTCCCTGGTCTCCACCTCCCACACCCGACTGCAGGACTTCCCCCATCCTCTGGAACTCACTACACCAATCCATCAGACTCTCACCTACCCTCCTAACCTTCAGGTGCACCCTGAAAACCCATCTCTTCAGGGAAGCCTACCCCGCCCTCACAGCCGATCTCCTCCACTCCATCCCCCACAGCCACTTCCTCCTGTACCATTATCCCCTCCCTCCTAGATTGTAAGCTCGACAGAGCAGGGCCCTTGACCCCCTCGTGTTTTGTTACTGTATTGTCTCATGTTCTGTCCCCCACTATAATGTACAGCACTGAGCAAACCTTTTTAGCACTATATAAATACTGGCACTGGAGCGCTGTGGTAGTTCATTGAGTCTTCCTGTCAGTATCTGCTTGCCTGTATGGGATGTATGAGCCAGCAGATACACTGACAGGTCAGATGGAGACTTGCATGGCACCAGCGATTAGCTGATCACTGGTGCAATGCTTTAGAGGCTCCAGAAACCAAATTAAATGCGGTTTTTTTTTTTTTTTTTTTTTTTTTTTTTTTTACTTAAACTAACTTTTCCTTTTTAAAATGGAGCTCCACCCAAAAAGGACGTTCTGCTTTAAGGACTCTTCCCCTGATCTCTGTTTTAAAGATTGGCACCTTGAGCGCGGGAACCCGATTTTGACAGGTACCTGCTCTAACAGTGACATTGTGTTCTTCCTTGGTTTACACAGTGGTGTTTTTTTACATGGTTTTAATAACTATAATCATCCTCTAGTGTATTTACAGGTTGTGAATAGAGCAGGGAGTAGTGGGCTATTTCTTGGTCCTCTAGATCCACCTCTGTCCCTCTGGGTGGGAGGTTTGTTTACTGTGAGGGTGTGAAAGGCTTCCTTATGCAGTCTTGCTCAAGGCTACACTGCCATTTGTGTTGGTATTAATAGAACCCCTCTTCCTGTTTGCTTGTCCTAAAATAACTGCTAAACTTTAATGGTTTTTTTTTAATTTTTTTTTTCCTTCTAGTTATTTTGAAAAATGACTGAATATAAGCTAGTGGTGGTCGGTGCTGGAGGCGTTGGGAAGAGTGCTTTGACAATACAACTAATCCAGAATCATTTTGTCGATGAATATGATCCCACTATAGAGGTGAGTTTCATACCTGTATCATGAAAGTCCCTGTCTGAGACTAGGCCCTAGTTCACACTGAATATGACTTTGAAACCGCACTAGACTTGAAATAACACTGACCTGTGATGTGCAGCTTGCCTTACTTCATGCACAGATGTCTATGCAAGTTGCACATGAAATCACAAAAAAATAGTGCAGGAACCCTTTTCACATCAATGTGGCGCCACAAAATCTGAATTGCACTGCTTTAGAACAGTTCCATGTGCAAAAATAGGGTGCAACATGTCATTTGATTTAAAAGTTCCAAATCACATGACCAGTTGCACTAGCATGAACCAGGGCTTATCCTGGCATTCAGATAAATATTTACGGTCCTCAGGTGGTGGCTTTGCTCAGTGTAATGGGAGCAACCATTCTGGCCCAAGAACAGCAGACTGAGGTTAACTCTAGATTAAAGGATGGTACTGATTTTACAATGTAGCAGCACACATTTTGCTAAATATGAAGGTGTATAGCAATATTCTGTATGTTATCAGAATCTTAAAGATTCTCTCCACTAAATCTAATTCAAAGAAAACAAGCTTTTCCCCCATATTGCTTTGTATTTTTGGTCTGGGGGATAGGGAGTTGAGATTATGTTGTGGTTTGTTCCCCCTCTAACTATGGAACATGAATTCTATGCAATATTGAAATGAAGAGGAGATGACCACAGATATTTGGCAAAATGAAAACAAAATTCCCCCTACCTTCCCACCTTGTAGACAGTCTTCCTTCTGCAACACCCTTACAGCAAACTCAAACTATCTTGAGCTTACGATGTCAAATGATTGTCAAAAACTTCAGTTAAGTATACCTACAGATACTGGCTTGACACAATCCGTTTCCAGCTTGGTTAGAATCTGTGCATGGGCAAATGGTTCATAGCCGCTTCATGTATAGGGGAAACTGTACAACTACGTTTGCCATGAATAAAAAGCAGAATATGGATGTGACCTTTTATGAAGGGGCTCTAGTTTTATTTTCTATAAAAACTTTGCCATATAGTGGAGCTCTTTTTCAATTTCACTTTACAGTAAAACTAAACCAAGTATCTACCCCTTACATCACACCTGTAAGCTTGTTGTGACGTCTCATTTCGAACCCATTGCTATTAATGTGAAGTTGCCACTTTCTTTTTGGCTTGCACTCCTGTTGGGAAGGCTTTCCACAAAATTTTGTAGTATTGGTGGAAATTTATGCCCATATGTGAGGTCAGGTATTTGTGTTGAAGACCTGGCCTACAGTTTTGAGTTGTTGTTCATCCCAAAGGTGTTCAGTAGGGTTGAGGTCAGGGCTCCATTTTTCTCCAGTTCTTTAAACCAGACTGGTAAACCATCACTTTGAGCTTTAGGGACTCTGTTCTTCCAGCATGACTGTCCCTGTGTACAAAGGGACGTCACTAAACTGTTTACCACAAAGCTGGAAGAGCACAGTTTATTTAAAATGGCTTTTATTTTTTTATATGCTGTGGCAAGAATAGAACCCTTCCCTGGTAACATCTGAAATCCATCATTTGTAGGAGGCCCCATATACTTTTTGGCTATAAAATGCATAATGTGTTTGAGAGGGTTTTGATAGTAGGTATGATACTTTCCTTTTATTTCTTGATGGACATTGAGGATGTTATCTAAATATGTTCTTTTTGCAGGACTGCAAGATGCTGCTTGACTTTCTCTGTAAAGTGCATGTCCAAGTCTTAGATTTCTTACCTTTATTTTTTGGGGGGGTTTTCTCTTCCAGGACTCTTATAGAAAACAAGTCGTCATTGATGGGGAGACCTGCCTACTGGACATCCTGGACACAGCAGGTCAAGAAGAATATAGTGCCATGAGAGACCAGTACATGCGGACGGGAGAGGGTTTCCTCTGTGTATTTGCAATTAATAACACTAAATCGTTTGAGGACATTCATCATTATAGGTACAGTGTGATCCTTCTGTCTGCAAAAAAATCTATCCTTTAGTCACCTGCAAAACCCCTTATAATCCACTTGCCTGCCATAATTTCTCAATCTTGGCTCTATTGCCAAGCACCAGCCCTGTCACACTTGTGTGCATCTGATTCCTCATTACCCACTAATAAGTATGTGTTTCCTAGTTGTACAGATGATCAGTGTGTTCAGCAGAGGTGACTTCTGGTGGTTTGTAGTATAAGCTTTCTGTGTCTTTCTAGATCAGTTTAGCTTTGGTTTGTTTGCTCCCAGCTCCTCCATTTTGTTAATGTAATGAGCATATTTGTTGACCAGTTGCAAGGCAGGGAAGGACAGTTTAAATGCTTAACCTCCAGCCTGTCTATTATCCTGTGGATCCAGCTGACCTATATATCCTTTAGTGTTCCTAAACCCCCAACCGTAAAATCAGTATGTATATGCAGTAAAGCATTCTTGATACTCTGTAGAACTGAAGGTGTTGATCCTCTGCGTTGTGTAAAAAGGCTGTTTGGAAGGAGGAGGATCAGATGTCAGGACAGTGCATCCTCCTTGAGCAGAGAGAACTCCTCCTCCTACAAGCTTCAACCAGTGCTTTGCTGAACACTGATAGAAGTAAACTGCTGATAAGGTATTTAGCAGTTTAGATTTACTAAAATAATTGCACTTCCATGTTCTGTGTACGTTGGGAGACCGGATGGCATGAATGCGGGGTCCTGGGTTTAGTAACCCTTTAATTGACTGACAGGTCTGTTATCTTCCACCATGAGAGCATGCACAAACCTGTAGTCTGTGACCCCCCCCCCCCCTCCTGCCTCAACAAAGAACAGATCCTAGTTACAGCAAGAATGTGTAGAGCAGAAGAGCTAACCCAAGTCCCAGTAATGTCTGAACTGCCTTTGATTCAACCTTATGCCCTGCGCCACAACATAACAAATAGAGGAAAGGATTACCACAGCAGGACCAGTGCCATGTTGGCAGAAGCTACCACCTTTACTGGTTTCTCCCTGTCCATCCTGGAAAAGCCAGACCCACTTGCCTGCAGCTCATATTACTTGGGAAGACATTGCCCCATTTCCTCAAATGCTCCTCTGTGCAGCACCATCCAGTTCTGGTATTTGCTTCCAATACTGGAAGCTGTGACCTACCTCATCACTTTAGATCTTGTGCTGCCAAGGAATACAATGCTACCTGAAATAGCATTACACCTTAACTTCTTCCTATATCCATGCACCCCCATGTCATGCCACCCTGCTAGCCAGCTGCCTGGGGAACAAGGAGGAACTGGAGACAAAGACCAGCTGCTGGCTAGCCTGCTCACTCTACTGCAGCAAAAGACAAGTCTGGGCTTCCTGCCCACATTGCCATGCAACCCTTGTCGATGAATGTGCCTTACCCTGAGCACCAGAGTCAGTCTCCCCAAGGTGTAAGTGGAGTACAAGCCCCACAGGTTGCAGATAGGAGGAGACTATGTAACTTGCCACGAACCACCAGATATTCGCTCTGCATTCTCTCCCACTACTAGCCAACAAGCTGCCTCACTTGCAGCAGAGCTAGGATTAGAGGGATTCCCAAACTTTATGGGCACCAAGGGAAAGCCAAGCAAGAATGGGAAGCTGCTGTGCACATGCCTACAGGTGTGCAGGAAATTAAAGAGCTGGTGGCCAGGAGCAGAGGGAACTTAACCTATGTTTTTCCTTTAGGTAGGTGGGAGTCTACCATCCTGGAGTATTGCTTAGTAAAGTGAAGATTTTCTTATAACTTGGCTGCCTATTACTCTGGATTTATTGATGGTTTGTGGTGTGGGTGCTGTGGGGTGTTTTTTGTGTGGTGTCTGTGTGGTTTTAGATTGGTTGAGCTTACTGTCTGCCTTCCCTGCAGAGAACAGATAAAAAGAGTAAAAGATTCGGAGGACGTACCGATGGTTTTAGTCGGCAACAAATGTGACTTACCTTCTAGAACGGTAGACACGAAGCAAGCTCAAGACTTAGCGCGGAGTTATGGAATTCCTTTTATTGAGACATCTGCAAAAACCAGACAGGTAACCTACAGCATGGATCACCGAGACCTCACAATATGCGGGGTGTTGGCTAGTTTAAATAAAAGCTTGTAAACTGTCATTCTCCTTTCTTCATCCACTTTATAAAGCTTTAACCTGCAACATCGGCTTAAGCTTTAAATCCTGTTTGACGTCTTTCTTTTTAACCATTAATGGGAAACACACATTCAAAGACTTGATGGCTGCTGACAGTCCAAAAACTTAGTCTGAATTGAACACACAAGTCTGATTAAATTGAATCCTTGTCCTGTGTCTCTTGCTGTGTGCTCCTTCTTTTTTTTTTTTTTTTTTTTTTTTTTTTTTTTTTTCCCCTCCCCTAAAAAATGTTATTTCTTTGTTCGGATTGTTTAGTTTAGAGGCAGATGGTCTACCCAGTAGTCTAAGCCTGCACAATTTGGGTTAGACATTGGTACCATAAAAGCTGAACTCCAGGAATTGCTGATGTTGTACGGTTAACATTGGTCCTGCTTTCTGCTAATTTTAAAGCAGAACTCCAGGCAAAAACTTCTTTAAATGTCCTTGTTGCTGATTTGCTATCTTCACTGAATGTCTTCTGGCTCACTCGGTTGCTCTGAAATGGCCTATTCATTTTCATATCTAACCATTTCTCTTTGGTTGCCTTTCTGTAATATTGGTGGCTATATCTCCTATTCCCCCAGCCACTGGTCTTGGCACATCCCATCTGTAGTTTTTGTAGGTCAGACCCAAGAATATCAGATGCCTAGTGTACCTGTCCACATCCACCTGTGGTTGATGGGAACTGTAGTTTCATTTACTGCAGAGAAGAGAGGATATGATGTAATCTCTGCTTTTGTACCTCCTCCTTGGCAGAGCAGATGCTGTTATCTTTTGAATTGCATAGATGAGGTCTTGGAAATTAAACTCGTAAATGGTAAGGATTTTAACAACTAGTGTTTTGTGTAGGGGGATGTACTAATGGGTTATTTTCCTATCCCGGAGTTCTTCTTTAGGCATCAACTTTCACAGCAGTTCCACAGGTATGGTAGAGAGTAGGCACAGCTTCTGTAGTGTTTGCCACAGTCTTCTGGGTCATGTGCTCAGCGGCTGCCCTGCTGCTCAGTGTCCAGGGGCTAGCTTGGGACAGGTGACATTCATAGAATACCAGCTCCTTACACAGTATGTGCAAGGAATCCTCTGAACAGAGGGGAAAGGTAGTGGTGGTGACCTTCTCCTCCATTTTTGTCCAGAGAATGTGTTAACAAAAATAAAAGTATTCTGTAAATACCACCTGTGCTGCGCCGTCTTCCCCCTATAGTTACTATGCAGAAGGCAAATCACTCTTCAAAAGATGCAGCAGACAGTGGTGATTACTGTAATAGCAGCACCTACTACAGTGATTCTGCTTCCATAGCAATCCAACAGGTATAGGATTTGCGTTTAGTCCTACTGCTCTGTAGTATTCCTCTTCTAGTAGTAGTAAGATCGCTTCCTGTCCAAGGGTGATAAATGTTCCTTTGAAAGTGATTCTGGAAGAACAGACAACGCTGCTCCTGCTTAGGAAGAGCATTCAGAGGAAAATTGCACCCCCCCCCCCCCCCCCTCAGAGAGTTGACTGCTGTTTTGAAGAGTGCATGACAGTGTTAACGATTTGAGCCCTTGAAGACTTTTGCAGAGAATATGCTGGCTTCCCCTGCAAAAACTCTGAAATGCTTGTCTGATTCTGAGAAACTGCAAAGTTCTGGTTTCATGTCCTGCATCTTCAGTGTATTGAAGCCAGGCAGTTGGCATAGAAGGCAACTAGAGATAATGGCATTGGGTCAGCAGTGGCAGCTGTATTTGCACCTGATCCAGTGGGCAATCTTTGGTGGTTCATATGATTGCATGGAAACATGGTTTCCTTTTGGAGACAGTCCTGTCTGTATCTGTGAGTAATTCTTACAGTAGCAGTATGATACAAGCTGGCTGCCTCTGTATGTTTGGGAATTTTTCTGACCATGCCTGCACATACTCTCTTGTCTATGGCCAGTCTGAGTTTTCTTTCTTGCATATTGTTTGGTCTCTTCTGATAAGATTAAGTTGAAGATTTTCTTAAAGTGGTGGTAAAGGTTGAAGGTAAAAACTTGTGCAGCAGCCCCCCTCAATACCTGCCTGAGCCCCATCATGATTCAGTGATGTGCACAAGAGCCTAGGCTTTCTGGGTACTCTCCCTCATTGGCTGAGACACAATTGGCTCCCACTACTGTCAGTCACAGCCAGTGAGCCAAAAGGGGTGAGAGGGGACAGGGCCAAACCACAATGCGCCCCGTAGCGAGCTACTTGCTCAGCAGGAAGGTAGGGCCAGGAGCGCTGACAGGGGACTCGAGAAGAGTAGGATCAGGGCTGCTCTGCAAAACCACTGTACAGAGCAGATAAAATATTAACCACTTTCACCTCCTGAGGGTTTACCCCCCCCCCCCCCCCCTTCCTGACTAGGCCATTTTTTTGCGTTACGGCACTGCATTACTTTAACTGACAATTGCACAGTCATGCAATGCTGCACCCAAATTAAATTTACGGCCTTTTTTCCCCCAAATTGAGGTGTGTCCTTCTAGTAATGGTGGCGATCAGCGACTTCTAGCAGGACTGCAGCAGACGTTCTGACACTGGGGGGGAACTAACTTTGTGTCCCTGACATCCCCAGTGACGCCAATACAGTGATCAGTGCTAAAAAAAAAAAAAGCACTGACGCTGTGCAAATGGTACTAGGCAGGAGGGTGTTAATGTGAGGGGCAATCAAATGGTTAACTATGTGCTGGGAGTGTCTGTAATTACCGACCAGGACCCGGTGATTGACATCCACGGCTGCCTGGAGATGCAAAAAAGTTAGATTTTGCACACAGGTGCTGCCCTGTAGTATATGTGCTATAGGGTGGTCCTTTAAGCAGTGTTTTTTGTTTTTTTTTTTTTTTTTTTTTTTTTTTTTTTTTTTTTTTTTTTTTTTTTTTTTTGTTCTTTCTCATACCCATGTTAAACTGCCTTTTTTTTTTTAATTTAGGACTCCATGCTGTTCTGGCTCTGTCCACCTTTACTCCAGTGTGTTCTGTACAAAGGTTGACCCATCTGATAGCTAATCCTGCTTGTACAGTCTTTATCACATTCTGCTCTGGCCAAAAGGCAATCCTGATATGCTTGTGTGGAGTTTACCTTTTTTTTAAAAAAAAAAGTGCATTTATTGTCCAAAGGAGCCTGGAAAGCATTCTACCAGCAATCAGTAGATCACTGATGTCATGCAGACCTGTCAGAATATCAGCTTGCTGTACGGGCTTGTACAGCCAAGCAGATATTCTGATGGGAAGCTTGAATGAACTACCACATTGCTCCACAGCACCGTGGTAGTTCATTGAGAACTACAAGCCAACAGCCATGAAGGCTATCAGGATTTGCAGTTAATTCACGGAGCCCCATGCAGTTTTCAAATCTGACAGTATGGGGAACTTCTCCCTGTATTATATCTGTCGGGGGGATGCAAGGCACAGCTATGGGAACATGTTCCCAAATGTGAACTTGTTCCTGAGTTCTTTCTCTAAATAAGCATACTACAAGTTGGCCTGCGTTCACACCTAAGCTGAGTAGCCTGCTGGATTTTTTTTTTTTTTTTTTTCTTTTCATGGGCTAGGCAAGGGGAGGAGAGCAGTTCTAGGAAAGGAATTGATCAGGATGCAAAAATCCATGTTTAAGGTGCTCCCATTGAAGTCTTTGGGGCCAAGAAAACCTCCCATGTACATATACTGTACACAGGGCCACAGTTGGAATGGGATTCTGCATGTGAGTGTAGTCGGAACACAACAAATGGTACAGTTCTAAATGTGTGACTTTAATGTAATGTGGAAACTGTCTAATGGTATGGTATCACTCAAGGTGGGTTTTGTGGAACTCTGCCTGTGTGGGGTTTTTTTTTTTTTCTTATAAATCCTAAGCACGGAATGATAACCTCTTTAGTGCCCCTTGTTAATGTCACTCCAACATTTTAACAGTAGAAAAATGTTAAAGGAAAAACAATTGAATGGCTTAAACTATTTTTACCAGATTTCTCAAGACCAAAATAAAAATTTCACAAAAATGAATAAAGTGAAACTTCCACATTAAACTTTTCTTGGGGAGGTCTTATCTTGGTGTTTGGTCTCTTCTTCTCCTCCTCTCTGCATTGATAAAAACAATCCTGACTTCTCTGTATAATGGAAACAATCAATTTTTAAATCTGCAAGTTTTTTTTGTCTTTTTTGAGAGTGATTTTTTTTTTCCTTTTTTAATCTGAGACCTAATTTAATCTACATTAATCCTGCCATCTCTCTCCACAATTCTGATTTTCCTGTCTAATCTAAGTGGAGTACAGCGATTTTTCTTAGATCTTTTTATTTCATCTACTTTTCTGTAGATCCTTTTTTCAAAGCAGGAAAAAATGGCTGTCTTGTTAGAATTGAATTTAACAATTTTATACTTGCTGGTGAAATCAAACTATAGTTTAAGTAAAATGGTTAAACAACCTGATCTAAATGTGTATAAAATCAGAATCTGAGAACATTCTGATTCTGAATAATTCTTTAAAAGTCTACATTTTAAGACCTTTGGGCAGGTTGATAATTACATTGTAAACTGTATTAGTCTGTCTTGTTTTCATGTACAGTGTTCATTGTCTGGTAGCAGTGTCTGCTTCTTCTCCCTTCTCCCGCAGGCTCTGTATAGCAGAGCTCAGACTAGGGGAATGAGAAGCCGCACAAGTAGCCAATCCTAAGGCTGTAGTGCTAACAAGTCTTTCTGATGAGAAAGAAATGAGATGACTAATTTGCAGAGGGAAAAGACCTGTAGGCAGACTAAATCTCATTTGTCACTTGTCTGCGAGTGCAGGCACTTACTGAATTACTATAGCAAAAAATCAAGCCTCTGCCAAACAGGGCTGTATAAATTTTAGCACTGGATTGATGGAACATTGATGTAAAAGGCTTTTTGAAAGATAAAATGTTCTTGTAATTAGCAGTTTCTCTAGAATGCAATGTTAAGCTAACAAGGGAGTAATGGGATGCAAATTGCAGTGGACCAGGACTAGTTGACTTCCAGTGAGAGCAGTCCTAATGCAATACGTTTCCTTTTTTTTGTTTGTTTTTCATCTGGAAATGCAGCATGTCATCTTTCCTGCCCTTAATACAGAAGAGAGCAAAATACAAAAGTCTCATGTTAACATAGTGTTCTAATGGGAATGCCGCGTGGATTTGGTGTTCAGTAAGGCTTCAAGCAGTATGAATTGGAGACAAAACTGCTACCAGCAAAACCTGCACATGCTTAGGCGATGTACAGACATGGCAAACATACAGTTTACTTTGTTACTGCATTAAAACCCTATAATTTACTCCAGCAACTTTTTACTAGTATTGCAGAGCTGGGAGAGAGCCTTTGCAATCTCTTTATCGGATCCACCACAGTGGTCCCTCTTTAGTCTTATCACTGTCCCATCAGTATTTTTAAAGGGGGTTGTGTTTTACAATGCAGAGAGTGGAGGATGCCTTTTATACATTGGTGAGAGAGATCCGCCAGTACAGATTGAAAAAACTGAGCAAAGAGGAGAAGACCCCTGGCTGTGTGAGAATTAAAAAGTGCCGTGTCATGTGATTGGTAAGTGCATTCGACCATGCTGACTGGGGGTCCAAACAGCTGAGAGCTCCCTCTTTTAGGGCTGCTAAATCTTCTTTAGAACTGTTGACTCGACTAACACTGGGCCAAGTCTGATTGCACCATACTATAGCAAAATCTCAGGTGGTTATAAAAAAGGTTTCACAATACTGACGCCAAATCCCATACATCAACATAATTTTGGTGTTAAGTGGATTTTTTTTTTTTTTTTTTTTTTGGGGGGGGGGGGGGGGGGTTTTGAGCCAACAGCGGCTCCAATTGCTCTTGCGTAAGAGCAGACCCAACTAGCCACTGGATTGCTTTGTTTTTACACTCACAAAGGCAAATGCACACGTTTGTCCCACACGTGAGGTAGCGCCATGAACGTCAGCTCATGGGCAGGAATTCTAGCACCAGATCTCCTCCTGTAAATTTGTAACCTGTAAAGATTTTTAAGGCATTGCCAGGATAGTAAAGTTTTCGTCATTTGGTGCCGTTGCATGGGTGTGTAGGGTGATCAAAGGGTTAAGTGAGTGCCTAGCTATGTGCTTGGTGTACACTAGATGGCACTGGTACAAGAGGAAGTGATGGATCATGTTCCCAGCTCTGCAGATAACATAATGATCACTCCCTCCTATCACAACAGAGCTGTGCCTGTGTAAACATAGGTACAGTACTGTTCTTCCTCCCTAATAGATAATCTACGGGTGCAGGCAAATATCCATTCACCGAAACTCAGTTCAGCTTCGGCTGTGACTGGTCACACCAGAAGTGATCTGCTGGCACCACAAGCGCCACCACTGACCCCCTACCCATATAAAATGTAATTTTGCCCAGAAGAGCTGCCCTGTAGCAGTAAAACTGCTATAGGGTGGAGGTAAAGTGGATACATTTGGATGAAAAGTTGACTCATTTGGTGTGGGGGGGGGGGGGGGGGGGGGGGGGGTGGTTGGGTTTTGTTTTTTTTGTTTTTCCTCCCCTCTTCCCCTTTTGAACTTTGTCACCAGTGGTAGGAAATACAAACTTGCATATGTCACTAGAGAGAACAAGCTGTATATTCTTGGATAGCTGAACATTTTTAAAAGGATGACCTCAGTAGTAAACTGTTGCTGGTTTTGTCCAGTCACAGGCTGGGGCAGGTCCTAGACCAGGCCCTATGGCTTTTCAACGGTGTAGACTTTGAGTTCAGGATCTGGCAGGGTTGCCTGGTTCACAAGACTAGTGTAACAGTTTAAAGATACTTTTACAAGGTATGATATGGGAGCTGCAACTGATATCCTTCTGACAGCACTCTGTGCTTTAAACTGTTGACCAGAGAACAGTCAACCGGAGTTGCTGTAAACCATTGTGGGATTATCTGAACTTGCTAGTTGCCTATCAAGCTAACAGCCACCTCAACCTATATTTATATATTTTTTTTTTTTTAAGATTCCATATATGGGGGTAAAGTATGCTAAAAGCAAAGTGTTTTGGGCTCCTCCCCTAGTGCCCATTGGCACAAGGACTGAAAGGGTGTATGTATTTTCGGTTTGGGAGGAGGGGGAATTTGACTTTTGTTTTAGTGACAAACTTAAAGGGAAATTTTCCAATAGGGACACCTGTTTCAGCTAAAATGGTTTTAGGAGGGAATATTTCCTACTTTGTCTAATTTGGGAGACCTTTCCCTTAAGCTGTCCTGTAAAACACAGACTACCTCCACAGATTGTGCAAGAGGGAAGAAAAAATATTTTTACTTTTCTGAACGCTTGTTTTATATTGACTTTCTTCCCTCCTTTCCTCTCTAGGGAGTTGATGACGCTTTCTACACTTTAGTACGAGAAATCCGAAAGCACAAAGAGAAGATGAGCAAGGAGGGCAAAAAGAAGAAGAAAAAGTCCAAGTCAAAGTGTGTCATTCTGTGAATACATGCCAGAGGAAAATCCTATTGTACATTTTACACTAAATTATTAGCATTTTTAAATTTTTTTTTCTGGTTTTATTTTATGGGACTTGTGGCTACTGCTTAAACTGTTTGCATCTCCGCCTCTTGTGCCAGTACTTGTGGTGGAAGCGCCCGTGAGACTCCAGGAGCCGGCTTTTGTGCATGTAGCAATCGATGTTTCATGATGTGCGCCGATCAATCTCCACATCCTGTTGTCTTGCTACCTTCCTTTCTTGAAAACCCTACTGCATGACAGGCATGCACAAATAAGGATTGACTCTTTCCTGGCACTTTTTTTTTTATTTTATTTTTTTCCCCCTTGGAACAGTTGTACCACTAGATGGAGGAATATCGGCCACAGCAGATACTCCAGCCTCTGGTAACTTCACCATATCTACTTCTTAAAGCCACATCCCTATAACTTCTTCTGAACTATTTTGAGAGCTTTCAATGTAACTTAACCTGTGCCGCTAAAACTTTCTACCCACAATGTGACAAAATGGTGCTAACAGCCGTCTTTTGAAGCGATGTGGTTTGTGCATAACATGTTCACCACCAAATTGGAGGTGAAGAATCTCTGTATTCCTGGAAGGTTGGACATTCTTTTCCATAATTGGGACAATGCTGTGTTAGATTAAATAAATTGCAGCATTTTTTTTATTTTTTTTTCTAGCCAAAATAAAATAACTCCAGCACATTTTCCAATAAACCAGCATTGCTGGAAGGTCTGGGTCTAGACAAAGCCATTTGATTACAAGTTGAGGCAATTCAGTGGTACCTGGAGGAGATTCAGGAAATCTGACATGACCTCTCATTTTGCATCTGCTAGCAATGGTTGTTGTTACTCCCAACAGTCATGTTGTATTCATTACAACCTGAGCCAATTTATGGTCTAAGACCTTTCCCGTGACCATAAGTACATGATGAAATTTTGGGGTGTTCTACACTTGCAAACACCCCTTCACCACAAACATCTGGTTTTGTTTTTTTTTTTTTTTTCCAAGAGTACTTGGTCTTGAAATTCCCTGTGTCTAAAGCAGTCTGAAATTTGCTCTTCTTGGGCTTAATGTTCCAGTATGAGTTCTGGGGTGACCTAAGGTGAAACCAAATTGCAGTTTGTGGTCTGGCCTTAAGGTGGGCTTGCACTTTGCTAAATGTGTGTTTTTTTTTTTTTTTTTTTTTTTTTTTTTTTCCCCACAAGCAGAATAAAAATTCCAATTCCTCCATCCATGTTAAACAGTGCAGATGGACCAATATTCCCAGCCAGCTATTGTAATCCTGGCAGCTGACTCCAGTGGTGGGATATCTCAACAGTGCTTGCATCTGATTGGATGCAGGTGCTGTTTGGCTAACAACTTTTACACCTGCCTTGACAGGTACCCACAGCTTGAGTTTTGGCTGGTCTAGCAAGAGTTGGCTGACATTTGAGCTGTGTATTGTAGTCTTTTTAGTATGTGTCCTTGTGGTCAGAATAAGGGTCTTCCATCAATGTTAGTCTGTTATCTGTCTCAGAATCTCAAGATCCAGTGGTTGTGGATGCTGGGGAACCTGTGGAATTGAGGGAAGAGCAGAATTAATTTAGAGTTGGAGCCACAGCCTGTGTAATTGGGTTCAGGAGCACTCTGGGTACATAGATGTTTTGCTGCCTGTACTGTACCTGGTAGATGTCTATATCTTTAAAGGGTTGAGCATACCTGGGCTTGCTGCTGTTCTCTGCTTCTGCCAGTGCACTGACTTAAAGGAAAAGCTGTATAACATTTCAGTAACACTTGGTTTCAGCATCTCCCTCCCTATGAAATTCTGATTGCAAGATTTGTATTTCCTTTCTTGTACAAAGCCCTCTTGTGCATGGTGTCTAGGCAATACTTACCTGTTACTCACAAAGGTAGACCTTGCTCAACTATGAATAATTTACATGAATACCCCACCCCCCACCATTTTACATATGTTAGGTTTGGTTAACTTGTGGGGGTGCTAAATATTTTCACTTCTGCAATGCTCCCTGCAGTCTTTCTAATAATTGTACTTTATTTTCATTGATATGCAAGTGGTAGGAAGTAGAGGGACACTAGTTATATTATGTTGTACAATGCAAGAGAACAAGATGCTGCTTTACATGTGCATCGTAAATATTTCCTACCTCCACTTTTTTTTTTTTTTTTTGTAACTTCCTTTGTCAGGGCAAAGAATAAAACTGGGACACTGCAGTTTAATTCAGAATATAAAAAACACCCAGTAGAATTTGCAATCCTATTCAAGCAAAAGGGGACATTAGTTGGGTCCTAGACTTCCCTGCTGACCACACTACAGTTAAGTAATGCAGTCTGGTTTTGGACCAGCATCTGGGATGATGGGAGCAACAAGTCTAGTGAGCCTGAAGGAGAGGCAACACTGCAAACAATCAGTCCTGCTGTGCAGGAATTGCAGAACTCTTACAGTACTAATAAACTGGTAGTAAAGTCTTTCTTTGTTTTTTTTACTTGTACCTACAGGTAAGCCTATGAGGCTTAACTGTATGTTAGGTAAATGGGAAGCAATACAAAACAGGATACTTTCATACACTGTACATGGTACAACAGATACAGATCAGGAATATGAAATATTTGAACTTTTTTTTTTTTTTTTATTTGGATTGGCATCCCAGTGCACAACTACAGGAAGTGTCAATACATTTATAGGTCATTGACTTTTTGTCCTTTGCTGTGTATTGGTAGCTCCTCATTGTAAATAATTGCACTATAGCAATTACTATACATTATAGTACTTTGGTGTTGCAAAGTGTATGCCAAGGCACCAAAAAACAAACCTGTTGATGTACAACAAATAGTGTGCGAATACCTTCCTCTTTGATATAACACAATTGAGGGGGAATTTTGTAAAAAACTAGTTGCTGTACACCGCTGCTCCAGTTTCTGTCTGCTCCAATCAGATTTTAGCATTAGTTAAGATTTGAGAAGAGAATTCCAAAATACAATCAAGCGTCTCGCATGTGTTTTTAAAAATGGCACAGCATGCACTGAATTCCTGTACCTGTCTGGCACAGCATAGGCCAAATTGAAGTAAAGTTCTCCTTTTAGAAATGCACACGACACTTTCACAAAATCTGTCTGCACTAGGGTCTTCTGTATGCCATGTGACATGGCTCCAATTTTTTGTAAGATACGATCTGTCTGTTTTTTAATTCTGAATTTGGTGCATGCATTGCACTACAATCTAAAAGTGGAGCACTTTGGAACTACGTCAATATGGTGCACAAGTTGCTGTCAGAACAAAAGTGTTCCAAGATGCTTCATGAATTTGGCACAACACAATAACATAGGTGACACAGCAGCTATATTGAATTTGCACCCCAGAGTAAATCCTGCCTTCCCAATGTCTGGTGGACTACAGAACACACAAAACTCCCTGTCTTTATAAAGTACAGCAAGCTATTGGCACATAAAATGTAAGGCAGGATCAACAGGTTTTGTTTTTTCTCCTTTTGTATACAGGTATAAACAGAACCTTTTCTTTTTTTTTTTTTTTTTTTTTTTTTTTTGTATATTTTAACAGATGAAAGGGGGAAGCAAATGAGAAGTTCATATATTCTGGGGGGGGGGGGGGGGAGGAATCTTACATTACAGATTCTTACCTGACTCTGTAGATAGAGATGACATACCATCTCTGAAGTTACTCCAGGTTGACCAGCTGTGTACACACTTGAAATTTGTAGTTCACAAGAAGCTGAACAAAAATGTCAGATTCTGTAGTGATTTTACATAACCAGGACAATCACTCCACATTTTGTGGTTCAGATTTTCCTGGAGCACCATCCTGCCAATTGGTCACAAATGATGATGCAGATTGTCCAATGAACAATCTGGAGGTGTCTCAGTCTTCTGATTTATACATCCCAACCACATGTTCTGATACTTTTGATAGGTAAAAGTGATTATTTTGCTGTTTTTCCTGGAGTACAGCTTTAAGTAAATTCCTGAGCTCTTCAGATTGTATTTACAATCTTCAGGCTCAAGAAGGAGAGGCCAGAGCAACAATTGCCAATAGTGCTCAATTAATGTAATGAATCTGTCTGATTTTGTATTTGCAGTAGTATGATCACTTGAGATATTTGGCTGCTTTATGTCCTTTCATTGTTATCATGGTGGTTCCAGAATGCTTGCACAAACTTAATGTGCATTTCAAATACATGAAAACCATACATTAAGGACCCTTTTCACACTGGTGCTTAAATGCAGTATTCATGTTGGATGTGTTCTCTGGATTCCTGACTCCCAGCAATCCACCTGTGTGTGTGTGTGTGGGGGTTTTTTTTTTTTCTTAACCCCAAAAGTGCATCAAATGCTGATCAGTGTGAAAGGGCCACAAAGCAGCCCATTGATTTTTTGATAGGGCAGGCAATGCATGAAACCCCACTAAAGCAGCGCACCACAATGGACAGATTAACATATTTTTTTGTTCTGTGTTAAACATATGGCTAGCAGCATTGGGGAGCTATAAGATTTTACAGTAACATGGTAAAATGTGAATCTTGTTGCAATACTTATGTAAATGGGCCCTTTAAAGTGGGACTGTAGTGTGGCCAAGGGTAGGCAACTCTGCCATAATATGCAAGAATTGAGTATTATGGGAAGACTTTCCTCCTGCATTTGCCTTCCTCCATCATACCTGTACACCTTTTTGACCAGTTGCTGTATAGGTTTGCCTAACGCTATGTTATTTTACATGCACTTGATAGAGCTCTAACGAACTGTTAAAGAGGTTATGCCTCCTAAAAAGTTTCAGCAATGTTTAACAGTCAAGGCAACCCAGTGTGAACCAGCACCAATCCTCTCAAGATATGAAAACAATTTTCCATTTTATACTTTATAAGTTTGATATTCAGGGTGTTCAGCAGCCTGAGCCTGGCAGGCATCCTTTCTATAATTACCCTCTCCTCTTCCCCCTAGCCATGGT